GGTGAAACCCCATCTCTACCAAAAATACAAAAATTAGTCGGCCATGGTGGCAGGTGCCTGTAATCCCAGCTAGTAGGTAGGCTGAAGCAGGAGAATCACTTGAACCCGGGAGGCAGACGGTGCAGTGAGCCGAGATCCCACCATTGCACTGCAGCCTAGGCAACAGACAGAGCAAGACTCCATCAAAAAATATATATATTTTTTTTTAATTTTAACAGTATACTAGGAAGAAAATGGAGGGTGCAATTATTATTGAAAGCTGAAGGAGAAAGCAGGGAGTTCAGAGAAAGAGGCCCTGTGATGTGTCACGGGGAGCCAGGGATGGGAGTCAGCCAGGAAGCCTCAGCAAGGACAGGATGTCTGGATTTGTATTTCAGATGAATTATTGTGGCTGCACCATGATGGACAGACTAGAAATGGTTCAGAATAGACACATACCAGTTAGGAGGCTATTCCAATAGAGCAGGAAAAAAAAGAAATACGGCTGCAATCATAAGAAGGGGAAGATTCAAGTTTCATGTTATTTTTGAGATGAGGTCTCACTCTGCTACCCAGGCTGGAGGACAATGGTGTGATCACAGCTCACTGCAGCCTCGAACTTCTGGGCTCAAGCAACCTCCTGACTCAGCCTCCTATGTCACTGGGGTGACAGGCAGGTGCCACGATACCTGGCTAATTTTTTTTTTCCAGAGCAGGAAAAGCTCTTAAAAAGCTCTAGAGTGGGAAAGAAAGGAAAGGGCACTTCAAAGAGATCCAAGTGGGTGCCCTGACTAACGATTTTTTTTTTTTCTTATAGAGACCAGGTCTCCCCATGTTGCCCAGAGTGTTCTCAAACTCCTGGCCTCTTAAGTGATCCTCCTGCTTCAGTCTCCCAAGTAGCTGGGATTATAGGTGTGAACCACTATGCCTAGCTAAACATTTTTTTAAAGTTGGTGACTGGCTGGGCGCAGTGGCTCACGCCAGTAATCCTAGCACTTTGGGAGGCCTAGGTGGGTGGATCACCTGAAGTCAGGAGTTTGAGACCAGCCTAACCAACATGGTAAAACCCTGTCTCTACTAAAAATACAAAAATTAGCTGGACATGGTGGTACGTGCCTGTAGTCCCAGCTACTCGGCAGGAGAACAGCTTGAGCCCTGGAGGTAGAGATTACAGTGACCCAAGATCATGCCATTGCACTCCAGCCTGGGTGATGGAGCAAGACTCTGTAAAAAATAAAAATAAAGCCGGGCGCGGTGGCTCAAGCCTGTAATCCCAGCACT